ATTCCCTAGTCTATCTTCACAACCCCCTCCCCTTTTGGACTCGCCCTCCAAACGTCCTTCCCTTCCTGCAAGGAAGGAATGGTGGTGGGGGGGGTGTTGGATGAAGGAGAAGCATAGAGGAGGGGGCACTAGGACAATGGGGGCAGCAGCGTGATGGGCCAGTGGGGGCGGGGGTTGTGAATGGGAGAGGAAAAAAGGACTCACTTTCCCTAGCCATAGGCAAGAACAAATAGAACCACAAGGTCCACTCTCTCAAATGTACCCACTCAGTCCCCTTCCTCTTTCTTCCAACACACACGCACGTACACGCTTCTCTCCCACCCTACCCCACCAGTCACCAACCACAGACCCAGGCACACGCACCTAGTTACCCATTCACACTCAGACACGAATCCACAAACACGCACAGAAATCTGCCTGTCTTTCTTTCATTCATAATGTGTTGCACCAGCAAGTGGGAGCTTTGGGGAAGCATCCTTCCTGCCCTTTTTTATGTCCTACCGCTTTCCCCTTCTTCTCTCAAGCCCTAACACCCCACTCCAATTTAATCCACAGATTGACCGCTTGCGGCAGCTATAGGTTACGTTCACCCCCTGGGCTTATATTTAACTCTCTGCCCCTCCCCATTTTCCTTCCTTCCTTCCTCCCTCCCACCCTCCCTTCCTTCTTTCCTTTCTCTCCTTCTCTTCTCATTCTCCTTCATTCATTCACTGTCCTCCTCCCCCAACCCCGCGTTCGCTTCATTTATTCATTCATTCATTTCCCCGGCGTTTGGCTTTAGCGTGCCAGTTAGTCCTCACTCTTCAGTGCGCAGGCTCAGAATAGGGAGGAGGAGAAGAATCTTCCAATCACCGGCCGCAATTAGGGCCCCTCCACCACTCACCCCGCTTCCCCATGAATGAACATTGACGTCAATCGGGCGGAGAAGACCCCCCACGTGATCTACTGGCTCCCCTTTATAAAGAGGCGGGGCGGGCGCTGTCCAGCGTGCTGAAGCTTGGGGAGAGAGCTAGCGAGAGAAACAGAGAGTCGACCACACGAAGAGAGACCAGCCGGAAGCTGACCGAAGCGACAACGTAGGACAGGGACCGAAACTCGCAGCATCCGCGCTCTGCTACCTCGAAACCCCGACCCTCATCCCCCCCCATCCCCCTTCCTCGAATCCCAGCTGGTAAATACTATTCTGTCAGTCTGTCCACCCCCCGAGAATTTGGCTGTGTGCGGGAGGGATGTCTCCCCTAGTTTGGGGGGGAAGGGATAACGCCAAGGGGACCTTAAGATAGAAGGGGAGATGATATCCCCCTTTTTCCCAGATAAAGCCTCCCACGCTTGATCTGGAGAGTCCCGTGGGGAGCAGATATTTTTTTCTCAACCTCGAAGCAACGTGGGCGGTGACAGGAAGATAGCTCCGAGAAGGAGCGGGGGCGAGGTGGAGGTGGGGGAACACAGACGTGATTGCTGCCAGGCGTTCCCCTCCCAGTTTTAGGACTCCATAGATTAGCACAGCCCCATTTTCCCTTAGGGTCCCTATCTTGACACTTCTGGATTTGCGAGAAGTCGGGGATCGGGGTAGGTAGTGCGTCAAGGGTAGCTCCCAGAGGAACGCCAGATTTTGAGATCGTGAAGGGAATTTAAGGAGCAGAGAAGACACCCTGAAGCCCTGACAGCCCCTCTCGTTTTATTCGCCTTTTCTCCACTTTATTTTTCTTTTCCATAGCCCCTGGAAACCATCAGTCTCCCAGTCTCAGCCATGAGGTTCCCACAGACGCCCGCTGCCGCCCTCTTCTTCTGCCTCTTGCTACAGATGAACGGTCTTCAAGCAGCGCCTCCGGGGCGCCCAGATCAGTCGCTGTCGCCTCTCATATCTGAACACGAAAACTTGGCAGCTGGAGGAGGGAAGCCAGGGGAAAGAGAGAGCCTAGATCCAGAGATAAGGGAGGAGAGAAGCCCAGAACAAGAGCCTGAGGAAGACGAAGATCTATTCCAGGGGGTAGATCCACGGGCGCTGGCCGCGGTCCTGTTACAGGCGCTAGATCATCCTGCCTCGCCCCCGGCTCCAGGGATCTTGCAGCAGCAGCAGCAGCAGCAACCGCCACCGCCGCAGCAGCAACAGCAGCAGCAGAAAGGAGAGGCTTTGCTAACAGAAACTGTGCGTAGCCAGACCCACAGCCGCCCGGCCCCAGACACAGGGGTACCCCCAACGCTTTCCCGTATCCCAGAGGAGCGTAGCTCGGAGGGTTCCGATCCTTCCGAGGAACTAGAGGCACTTGAATCCCTGCTCCAGGAACTACGCGCTTTCAGTCCAGCGAATGCTAAGAGAGAGCCAGAGGCTGCTGCAGCTGAGGCGGAAACGCATACCCATACATTGACCCGGGTCAACTTGGAGAGTCCCGGACCTGAGCGTGTATGGAGGGCCTCCTGGGGAGAGTTCCAGGCGCGTGTCCCTCCCCCACCCCCATTTCCTCGGCGGTTCCAGGAGCAATTGCCTGAGGGCGTATCCCTTCCTGAGGTGCGCCAGGGTGAGAGCGAGCCTACTCTAAAAACACACGGCGAGAGCCTAGCACCTCTCTACAAGGCGCGCCAGATCGAGAGTGCCCCTTTCTCCAAAACGCACCGCCCAGAAAGCGCAGCCATGAGTAGGCTTGCAGCTGGAGGGCGCCTCCTGCAGCGGGGGCTGGCCCAGGTAGAGGCAGGTAGGCGGCAGGCTGAGGCTACGAGGCAGGCGGCAGCCCAAGAGGAAAGATTGGCTGATCTAGCCTCTGACTTGCTGCTCCAATACCTGCTACAAGGCGGCGGCGGCCTGGAGCGAGGTGTAGGGGACCGGGGACTTCAGGGGGAAGAGGAGGAGGAGAGAGAAAGGGAGAGGGAGGAGGAAGAAGAGGGAGTGATCCGAGGCGGGGAGGAGGAGGACGAGCAGGGGGATGAGGAAGACGCTGAGGCAGAGGCTGAGGAGGTTGAGAGGGGGCGGCAGAATGCATTGCTATTCGCGGAAGAGGAGGAAGGGGAAGCTGGGGCTGAGGACAAGCGCTCCCAAGAGGAGACACCAGGTCAAAAGCGAAAGGGGCAGGTGGAAGGAGAAGGAGAAGAAGATGAGGAAGAGATGGACCCGCAGACTATCGACAGCCTAATTGAGCTGTCTACTAAACTGCACCTGCCAGCCGACGACGTAGTCAGCATCATTGAGGAGGTGGAGGAGAAGCGTAAGCGGAAGAAGAATGCCCCTCCTGAGCCCCTACCTCCTCCTCGGGCCCCCCCCGCGCCTACTCACTTTCGCTCCCCAAGGCCCCCCCCACCACCATCTTTCCCTGCCCAAGATGAGCTGCAGGATTGGAATGAGGTGCTCCCACCCTGGGACAGAGATGAAGTGTTCCCCCCAGAGCCCAACTACCCCTTTCCTAACTACATCCAGCCCCGTACACTCCTCCCACCTCTCTCTTCCCCGACCCGCCGCCACCACTACCACGCACAGCCCTCAGAGGGGTCGCAGTACCACTTCGGCCTTAGCCCACAAGGGCGGCGGGGCGAGGAGGAAGAAGAGAGGCAGCAGCAGGAGGAGGAGGAGCTGGAGAATTATATTGAGCACGTGCTGCTCAGACGCCCCAGCTTGTTCCCCTGACTCCGCTTTCCCATTCGTGACGGTCCCCTCTCTTCCCCTGTGCAAACTTCCCTAAGCCCCCGTGTTGCTCTTTAGTGTTCTGCATGCGGTCCCTGACCTTTTTTGCGGGGTGGGCATAGTCCCACCCCTCGTCTCAGCCAACCTGGCCCCACCCGCTACTCTAAGCCCCGCCCCCTTCCCTTTAACCATCTTCAGTGAGAGACGAGTACCCCACATTCGTGGTAGGGTATCAGATCGGTGGGGGTGGAAGTTGAGGAGAAAATTCCAATCTGTCCGAAGCGGAAAGGAAGGAGCACTAGTGCGGAAACTCAAGAGGATAGAAAACTCCCGTGTCCTACTAACTCCACCCACAAGTGATACAGCGAAGGAGCAGCTGAAACCGGACTGTACAGATTTGTTCCACACTCGTCTCCCCCACGGGGCCCCGTTCCCTTACCCTAAGCCACCCTATCCCTCTTCCGATTTCCCCATCGATGAACAATAATAATAAAAAGCAAAAAGCAAACAAACAAAAACCATACCAGTTGTGTAGAAGCCGCCTGTGAATCGAAGCCCTCCCCGACCCCAGGGTTTTCCTAGGACCCTGATCACTCCCCAAACTGAGACAACTCAACCCCTTCTTTCCCTTCTCTGTTGTAAATACCCCTCACGGGGAAAATAGTTTTGCTAAGAAATAAAAGTGACTATTTTATTAGGACTTTTTCTCTTTTATTTACCCCTCCCCCCACTTCCTCTCAAGAGAATAAGGGAATATCAGCCACCTACCTTCCTATTCTCCTCTCATTGAGCACTTCTTTCCTCTGTTTCCTACTGTAGGCAAAATGCATGATACTATGATGAGGCAGAGGAAGCAATCCCATCAAGGGTCAATCAAATTATACTTTAGTGCCTTAACTCACTCCAACCTTAATCTTTCCTGGGTGTAGTTAAGAGTTAATTTTCCTTTTCTACTTCCACCAGGGCAGAGGCCACATAGATGGGGAGGGGAATTCTCTGTGTGATGGGGGAATGGCGCAAAA